TTCGTTCAATACATGATGCACCACACTCCAAGTCGCGTAGTTGCCATGTGAGATGACGCCCAATTTCACGCCCTCTACAGACTTGAACATCTCGTGCGCAATTAAAATACAGCCGTTGAAGACTTTAAAGCATTACAGCGTTATAGACTTTTCCTTATTACTGTAGAAATGTATATGTTACTCTTCAGCGCATATGACCTTAAGCCACCAGTGCAGCCAGCCCTTACTGGTGTCAAGAACCTGATTTATTTAGCGAATTTGCTAACCGTACTTTCGTATTTTTAAATCAGCCTATTCAATAATCATAATCAGTCGCAACAACTGAAAATGGAAAACCAGTGAATTATTGTTCAAAAATTGTACTTCAAATGACAAAACGTAATAAATGATGCCGGCTTTCCAGTAACTTCTGGTAATTTTTGCTAACTATAGAGATTAACAAATTAGGAACTTGTAGAGCAGACTGTACTCTAACCCTCTATAGGAATCCAGTTACTTCTGGAATGTGCTGCTTCCCTATAACAATTTTCAGGTAAATTCTAGGTAGAAGGCAAGTATGGACTCAGGTTATCTAAACTGTGTTCAGGAGGTGACAACATCTACGAAATATTGTTGATTGCTGTTAATAACCGCTCCATAAATCGAGATGTGGCGTGCTACATAGTGACGAAGCTTATGCACGATTTGCTGGGTGAAAGCGGACATCTCTATTACGATAGTTGGTGCACAAGCCTTCGCTTGGTTGAGAACCAATTACAAAGCATTGATTTCATCGGCACCGGTAGAATAAAAAGGAACGGACTTTCCAGCAAGTAATCACCTGAAATTGAACATAGGATGGTTGGCAGCACAACAGAATTGATGTGGTATAATTGTGTTGACTTAAAACTATAAAATACGCATTGTTATAATGACTACAATTAACAACGGCGCCCTTTTGAACAACTCCTCAAGATATGTTATTGCAAAGTACAACGAGGAGAAGGTGCACATGGTCAGAACGGCGAATAGTGGTGTCTCCACGCGCGGATTTCTTTTGACTTGATCACTCAAGCGAATTTTGTGAACTAATGGAATATTTATCATAAGCATATTCGGAAAACGTCGCACGAATGGATGATTCTCAAGTGTGGAGACTATCTGTAGTGTTGACTTGAGGATGTACTACTAAGACTGCTTTAAAAGTCCTGAAAAAAACAAATACCTAAAGAACACCTAAACAAATAGTGCCACTAACAGACACAATGAGCGTATCCGTCGTGTATAAAGCAGTAGTGAGAGACTGTTTAATCTGCAAACTTGCTGCAAGCGTGACAAGAAGAAAAAGTTTATAGCGCTCTACGTGATAAGCTTTTTTAAATTTACATCTGTAACACCAGAAAACTCCCACGTTTCTTGTCTTTCAAGTAAAATCAAGAGCAGGAAAACCAACACACGAATTGAGCACTGAGAAAAGCTCCGCCATTTGTGAAGCAAAAATTCGCCTGGTGTTTGAGGATTTTCGTTTTAGTTATGAACGTTGCTGAATGCTGATTCGCCTGCAATAAGTTGGTAGCGTAGATTATGTTATCAATCCTATCCATTAGTGTATCACTTCTATAAATGCGAGATCCTATTACCACATATACCCATCTTTCATCTCCAGTCCAACTGTCAAAAGAACATCATACCAACAGTTGCCACTAATCAACCAGTTTAGATCATGAGACAGAATATGAAGCATTCTATGAGCATTTGAAAGGCCTTATCAGCAAAAAAAGAGTTTCGTAGTACTTTTGTTTGAGACTTCAATACCAGAATAGAACAAGCGTCAGAAAGCGAGCACATAATGTGGTACAGGGAAATTAAAGGAAAGTCGGAACCTCCCACGACTGGAAGGTAGGGACTCTTTGATGCTTCCATAGTCCCATCATTTTCTATTAAACTCGATCATTGTTTTCACTATGTGAACAACCGTTTCAATAACAAGTTGCAACGAACTCTTTTCATCATCAGAGAGAAAATCTACAAGCCGTGTCTGATGGTTGTGACATTGGACAGCACTATTTCCCAAAATCATTGATAAAATGGTCGACGGAACTGGCAGACGACAATGAAGGGCTTGTCGCAGGACTCGAAGCATATCTATAAATCCCTTCAAGAAGCCTATGAAGGCGATAGCAAAAATCTCTTTTAGAAGGAAGAAAAATCCTGCCTGAAAGCTACCCAAAAGAATTTTTTCTGGAGAAGTTGTTTGAACAATTTTTCATCCCGCCTGCCTCACATGTAACATGAAATTGACAACGGAACAGTCCAGTGTTCTTCGCTCTGGAACACTCTACCAAGCCCCAAAGTCCTCGCTGGAAGAACATCTATCAAAAAACTTTTTTCTGAAATTTAAATTGCATTACAAGACTATGAAGACTCACTCGAACATAACCAGACAACATAACAGCGGACATCGAGCAACTACACGCGGATATTGTGAAACACATGAATAAATGACCTGTTTTCAAAAGGAAAGGAGAAGAAATGGTATCCGCATGGCTAGCAGCACATTTAATCTTGCACAAGTTTGTCACTAGTGCCATATGCTTTTTCTTCTAACCATCCATCATTAGGCATTTCTTAAGAAAAGGTGGCTTTTGGAAGAAATGACTCGGAAGCTGTTTTCTCAACTCTCTTTAAATGAGATATGAATTCCTCATGAATAAAATACCACTGAAACTGTTTCCTATCATAGTTACACAAAACGACATCAGTGCGACACTGCGCGAACACCGCACTTCCTACACTTGATTCGTTTCCCCAGGTCCACGACCAACGAAGTTTTTCAAGCTTTTTTACGCGTGGCTCCGGCTGCTGCCCAAGAATTCCCTGTTTTTGTTACTATGTCGTTGAATATTGGTTAAGACTACACTCTCTGGAACATTGAGACGAGCCTGCTGCGGCGTTCCGGCGTTCCAGCGCTTACTGGATGAAGTCAGCCTGTTCCAGACCGGACTGTCAATTTCAAGACCCCATAGGAATGAGAGGCTTGCTGGGTCTGGTGCAGGATCGAACCAAAGGCTAGCAGTGTTCGTATGCCCACCTAATAAACGAGATCACTACTATTGCGCCAGCCTTCCCCTTACTATTCAAACTGCGTCGCGAAAACACAGCTTTTCCACTACTTATTTACCATCCCCAATTCAAAATGATCAGGGAAAGTCTGAGCTTTTTATCACAGCACTGAAGTCGATAGCGAGATTTCTCGGTTGGGAAAAAGGAGCCCACACTCTGATCAAAAATTCTTACGAAACGTCAGTTTGGCTGCAAGCAGCACAATCGTTCCAAGAAGTACCACTGAAGAAGTGGTGCACGAAGACCCGAAGGAGCTTTTTCGGTTAAATATGCATACGTATAATTAGGAAACGTAAGAAATGATATTGAGGTAGTGGCAGAAGAAAGAGGACAACTTAGGTTCTTTCGGTTACCACAAAAAAGCAATCAACTGACCAACGAATCAAAGACTCCGTACTCTCCTGTTTAACTCAACTGTCGTCACAACACTCTGCCATGAATTTTGTACAAAGCCTGATGCTTCAACCAGGATCTCATGAAGACGGGTAATAATTGAATGTACGTATTCTTGCACCGCAGTTAGTTTGGTGGCTTGGTGGCTCCTATTTTCAATTTTGAAGACAGGCAAAGGAGTGATAGTCGGATGAAATATCTTCAGAAACCCTACGATTACCGAGGAAGTGCAATTTATAGAGAATTCCTGTACCAGATAGAGAATTCTCTATCTACCTAACAAACACATTGTTTCTTACAAGCGTCCTTTTCGTGTGAGAGGGTGAGAGGAGAGTTTTGCGCGCTTGTGTTCTCGATTCCTGTGCGAGAATCGTGACACGTACTTCAAAGTCATCCCCGTTATGTCTCTGGGTCCTATGCGTGCCTAGTGGGGTGTTTGGTTTACGTTTGCCGACTAGGTGTTCTTTTATGCCGACACAGAGGCCTCTTCCGTTTCGCCAATGTATTCGTCTCCGCAAGCTTTACAGGAGATCAGATAAACTGTACCCGACCTCATGCAATCACCATCTCTACTATTGCGGGCAAAACATGCAATTTTGCGTTGCATATAGACGGTCGTAAAGGCTGTTACGAACCAGCTGGCGCCTAAGAATACTCGGTGGCATTTCAACTACGTTTACCGAATTCTCTAGACCCGCTCTTCTTAAGCAGTGTTTTATAGCTGCACTTACTTCGTTCGAAATGAAAAGCAGGATAAACGGACCTTATTGTCGCTAGAATTATCGTTGTGGGACCTGTGGTTTCCTCTACACCTATACCGAGCTGCAGTTTCGTAGCCATTAAAAATGGCTATTTGCCACGCCAAGTTCCGCGACACCTCTCTCTGCTCTCTTCCCGTGCCCACGTTGATTGCTGCTCGAAACATGTTTCTTACAAGCGCCCTTTTCGCGTGAGAAGAGTGAGAGGAGAGGTAACGAACCAGGATGTTTTACCACTTGGTTTTCGGTATCACTTCTTAATGTAGTCCTTTTCTGATAGGTTAATTTAGACGTTCAGGAATGGAAGCCAGTTTTCTTTCGGTTTCTTTCGGGTGAATTTGATGATTTTGCGCCTACCGATCCATCATTGTTTAAGGTTAGACCTATCATTAGCTGCGTAGACGAGCCAACGGACAGGATAACATGGTTTTTAACCCTAATATTTAACCAGTTGTCGAAACACAATCCAGCCCATCTTACGAAAACCCAGGTGTTTCTGGATCGCCTACGTAATGCGCAGCCCAGCAGCGCGCACGTGACGGAGTCCTTCGACGTTACCGCCCTTTATACAAACTTGTTGAATGAATCCGCAATGCAAGCCATATTCGAACTCCTTATACAACACGAAGAAGAAATAAACATATATGGCTTCAAGATAGAGACTTGATGGCACTCTTAAAAGAATGCTTGAGCTCCTCAATCTTCAGATGGTCAGGAAAGTACTGCGCTCAAATAAGAGTGTTGGCAATGGGACAACGACTGGCACTAAGTCTTGCCATTGCATTTATATCTAAGGTGGAAGCACCGATGACCGATCTCGGGCCGCCACTCTACTGTAGATATATCGATGACTGTTTTGTCCTTTGCTCGACACAAGAGGAAATGGACAAGTGTTTCAAGTTGTTGAATAAACAGTCAGAGTATATCAAGCTCACCCGAGAGAAACCGAAGGAAAATTGGCTTCCATTCCTGAACGTCTAAATTAACCTATCAGAAAAGGACTACATTAAGAAGTGGTACCGAAAACCAAGTGGTAAAATCCTGGTTCATTACCTCTCCTCTCACCCCTCTTTTCGCGTGAGAGGGGTGAGAGGAGAGGACCTCTCACGCATAGGACCTAGAGACATAACGGAGATGACTTTGAAGTACGCGTCACGATCCTCGCACAAGAATCGAGAACACAAGGGCACAAAACTCTCGAGGTGTTCTGGATTAATTCCAGAAATCCGAAAATTAACCGCAGAGAAGAATGCCTCATTATCACGCCTGATATTTTGCAGTATATAAGCCTATTATTCTGATTGGGTGGGGGCACATTACGCTTCCATGTAAATTCTGTGCAGTTGGTCTCCAGGCGGCATACTCAGTGGAAGCCTCATAGAAAGCGGTGAGGCTGCGAAGCTGTGTTCAATGTGATTGAAATCTTGGTTTAGTGTTTTCTTTGTTTGGTTATGGAGGTGCTTGGTTGAACAGATTGCTGTTAACTTGACCATTCCAGACTGTGACGAAGGCGAAATCCGCCGAAACTTCAGCTTATCCGTGAGTATTGGATAAAAATTACACCTTGCGTTTGCTCAACAAGAATACGGAGAATTACCAGATCGTAACGCCATATATCCACAAATCCTTCTCAGATGCTCAGACTCTTTCACCATGCTTGATAGTGGATTAACTACAGCAAGAGCATTACCGTCAGGATTGAGATTAATCCCATCCAAACTTGGATATCTCGTGGCAAGAACACTCCACGAGCGAATCGATACATCGTACGAGACTGCGTCTCTCACTACGGATGCCACACATGCATGTCAGCACATAACTGAACAGCAGTCATAGAAAAAATATTGGTAACTAGAATCATCAGGAATCCATGAATACACAGGACCAAGTGTAGAAGAATAACAGCAATCAAACGACAATATCTAGAAAGAGTTCTAGAAAACAATAGAAAATTGAGAAGGAGGCTATTATGTCCGTTTCCCTTGGAAAAATGATGCATACATAGAACGATTGCAGGCGACAATAGCGAAGCTAAAGCAAAACACATCATTGAAGACAAAACAAAACATCATTGAAGAAGCTGACGAATCAATACCAACAAAAGAAACAATAATACATTACCTTCCACACCAAGCAGTCCTCACTCCAAACAAAGAAACTACAAAGCTGAGAATTGTTCACGATGCATCTACTCACCTCGAGAAGCTCCCCCCATTTAAAGATGTCCATCATCAAGGTCCACTATTCCTATCACAAATATACGACATTTTACTTCGGTTTATCACCGGAAATGTCGCAATGATTTTCAACTTCGAAAAGGCTTTCCTACAAATACGGCTCCATGAAATAGACAGAGGCCCTACACGATTTCTATGGAACCCAGATATCTCACAACCTCTTAAACCAAGAAATATAACCGCGTACAGATTTACACGAGTTACATTTGGACTCAATTGTTCACCACTTCTTGTAGCAGGAACAATTAAACACCATTTAAATAACTGTCAAAATGACCCTAAATTCGTCAAACACATCATTAACAATGTTAACCTTTTTATTTACTGCCTATTCTTTTTAATGGCAGGGTATTTTGCGAAATATAACTACTATAATGCTGAGATATTTGCAAAACTCCGGACCGCAAAACACACCTGCGGTCCGGAGTTTTGCAAATCTCTCAGGATTATAGTAGTTACGTCAATAACGCTTGTGTGGATAACGTGATTCTAACAGCCGCCTCAATACAAGAAGCAGAGTCGACATACAGAGAAGCAAAGCAGGTATTCAATGATTTGAACATGAATTTACGTGAATTTCTTTCAAACGATAAGGAGTTTTTACAACAAATTCCTTAAAAGGATCGAGCATCAAGTTGTGTACAAAATAGAAATACCATGGCGTTCTACGGAAGGTACACCTCTCATGCAGATATCCAACAAAATCGAAACTAACTAAACGGGCAGTCGCTGAAGAGGTAGCTGCTATCCACGATCCTATGGGGTGCCTCATGCCACTCACATTAAGAGGAAAGCAATTTCTTCAAAACCTTTGGAACTTCGACTAATCGTGGGATAGTCCTTTGCCAAAAAAGCACAACGATTAGTGAGAAAAGATTGTTAACGATTTTAATGGGTTTGAAATCTTCATCCCACGAAAAGTAGCCCAGATCGGTGTTTCATCCAAGCTAATTCTCTTCGCGGATACTAGTAAACATTGTGTGGCCACTTGCGCCTACATTGTTTCCAATGGCGAATCACAACTACTCGCAGGAAACTCTAAGTTGCCATCGGTCAAGAACAGCCCCACAATCCCAAAACTTGAACTAGACGCACTAAGCGAAATACAACCACAACGTTGCTGAGATATTTGCAAAACTCTGGACCGCGGGTGTCTATGGTGGGGAACGAACG